AAAAAAAAAAAAAAAAAAAAAAAAAAAAAAAAAAAAAAAAAAAAAAAAAAAAAAAAAAAAAGAATAGAATCTGGTTTTCCTTTTCCAGATCGACGGCTGGTATTGGAGAATTGGAATCAATGATCGTAATTGATATGATATTTTATTTTATGGTTGTTCAACAAAATAGAAAAATGGATAATTTTCTCAACAAAAAAAGAAAAATATCGGATGATGCAAAATTCTGGAGATCGCCCAATGACTTCGTTACAAGTGTCAAAATTATATGGATTTATATAAGGCTATAGTAATAAAATAGCTATTTAAACTTTCTGTCAACAACCAAATAAAAACACCCTTAAACTAAAAAAATTCCTTTGTTTATTTTGCATTTAATAAATCATTTGTTTTTTTTTACTTTAAATATGGTGAATTATTTAGTATAAGAAATTTGATTTATGATATAAAGTTAGTTATTGGGATGTATTTTATATAGTTGTAATCAGTTAATTTTTTTTTTCATTTTTAAGATTTGGTTAATAGTATATTTGATATATTCTATCTTATTTTCAGATTTGGTTAGTAAAAAATTTTATGTTATATTCTTTTTAAACAGGGTGAATATTAATAATAAAAATTGTGACAATCTGAAAAATTAAAGATTTATATTAAATTATAAAAAGTTTATCGTTTAAAAAATACATATATATTCTTAAAAATCTGCCATACTCTCTCCTAAAATATATAAATCTATTTGAATATTGAACGGGAAAAATAAATGTGACTAAAATAATTAGATTGAAAAGATAAATCAACTTTATCCTTCATTATTATGATTTTGAAATTTGGTGAGACATAATAATATTACCACTTTTGAAAGAAAAAAAAAATTAAGGTATTTAGTCCGTGTTTATAGTTGGATAAAATTTCATAAATAATAGGGATCTTTATATCGAATAATAAATTTTATTTATGAAATTTTATCCCACCATTATAATTGTTTATTGAGGTAAAAATAAAAAATAAAAAATATATAAATTTTTGGTCATGGGCTTCAAGGTTAAGAGTAAACAAGAGTCTTTGTCCAGAAATATGGGCTTCATGCATGGCTTCAAGGCCCAATAAGAGCCATCCCATTCCAATCTCAACGGGGAGAGAAAGGCCCCTTCGTTCTCCCAAAGCGCCTAGCTCGTCACGATTTACAGAGTGATCGACAGAGAGACATAGGAGTTTTCCGACGATGTTTCTGCGAGTGATCGGACGGCCATTATTGGCCAAGGTGAAGCAGACGACGGGGATCGTCGGTCTGGATGTTGTCCCAAACGCCCGAGAGGTCTTGATCGGCCTTTACGGTAAAACCCTACAGGAGATCCAGGCCGTTCCCGAGGACGAAGGATACCGCAAGGCAGTCGAGAGCTTCACGCGCCACCGCTTGAAGGTCTGCCAGGAGGAGGAGGACTGGGAGCAAATCGAGAAGCGGCTTGGCTGTGGTCAGGTCGAGGAGCTCATTGAGGAAGCTCAGGACGAGCTCAAGCTCATTGCTAAAATGATTGGTATGTATATAATTTTCTTCAACCAAAGTTCTACCTTTACATATTTGTGAATTTTTTATGTACAGTCTATTTCCGTTTCATTTCCTTTTCCTATCTGTTTCGTTTTGGGAAGGGAATGTATGAACTGGGGATGGAAGTTGGCAGGATTTTGAGTTATGTGAGATTTCTATTCTTTCATTGCGTAGAAATGATGAAAACCGAACCTTTCGTACTCAAATTATGAGTTTGGCATCGGTAATGAGACCTTGCAGGCATGTTTTAAATACAAAGGATCCCTATATAAGAGAAAGATTATGGGTATATGAAATCTTTTTGGGTAGACGAAAAGCAAAGTTGTTGTTAGTATTTATGATCAAAGTGGACGATATCATGTCATCGAGGAGATAGATAGAGGTTGTATGATCCCAAATAGCTGGTATTAGAGTCATGTCCCTAACTTAGCCGTGTTAATAAAATTCTTGAGTTCCAAATGTAAATGTAGTTAGTCATGAATCCGTGGTTGAGGTTTTGGATAGGTAGTGTGTGCTGTGAGGAGTAAACCTAATTAAAAAGTAATATGTAAAAGTGCAGTTTGAAGGTACGACTATGTGAGGGGAGACTCGAGATGATACTTTGTGCTAGAGGAGGATTGTTTGCGTTGACTAGATAAGAATAAATCATATAACCGGAGGATTGTTGGCACTGACTAGATAAGAAAAAAATCATGGGTTATATGAGTGGGAACAATCGTCTCCATTGGTATAAGACTTTTTTAGAGAAAGCAAAAGCAAAATCACGAGTGTTTATGCTCGAAGTGGACAATAACATACCATTACAATAACATACCATTACGGGGAAGATCATTGAAAATACAAACAAAGTCCCACATTGACCTTATAAAGAAAAAGTCATAGGTAGATGAGTGAGGACAACCTTCTCCAATAAAAAATGAGGCCTTTGTGAGAAAATCAAAACAAAGCCACGAAGGTTTATGCCGAAAGTGGAGATTATCATACTATTGTGGAGATAGGTCGTTGATGGTCGAATAATGGCATTTGCATCTTGTTGTACTGACAAAGCTGTGTTAACACCTATGAATTAGACTGTACATATCCTTTTGTCATTGCTAGCTTCTGGCCTAATAGCAATCCCTGATTTCTGTTATAACCTGAGGATGGTGAAAATTGCATATGTGAAGCAAATCCAGACAGAGAGCTTATGCATATGTGAAAATTGCATAAGCTCTCATGGCCTAATATGCCCGACTTCTCTGGTCTTAGCTGCATTGGCGCACATTCATTATTTCATAGATGGAACCAATATTTAAAATGTCAATGTCTACGAAAATGTCAAGATCTCAATTTTATGAAAATTTCAATGAAAATACTGAGAAAATGCGAGCTTCCCCTTTGCTCTATAGAAATGGATGGAAATGCCTACTACTAATTCCCGTTAGAAAGGTTCACAGTCAGGGGCTGAAAACCAGTGTCAATGAATATTTATTTAGAACCGGTCATCACAATCTGTTTGTAGTTTTGTTAGTGATAAGTTATTTGAAATCTGCAGAGTGGGATCCGTGGGGTGTTCCTGATGACTACGAATGTGAAGTGATAGAGAACGATGCGCCAGTACCCAAGCATGTTCCTCTGCACCGACCAGGCCCTCTCCCAGAGGAGTTTTACAAAACGCTGGAGGCCATTAGCAGTGGTGGTAGTAGTGCACAGAAAGTAGAGACGGCCGACAAAGCGTCTCAGGTGACAGAATGATCCATCTTCACCATTTGGAGATTTCAAGTTTCAGAATCGAAACCTGTTCTTTATCTAATTATGTTTGTTCTTCAATAGGAATGATTGTTCGCAAAGTCGTGTACTTCAATAATAATCTTTACCCGACTCTGGAATGACATAAATTTACCCTTTCTTTGTCTTGTTTAAATTTTACTGTGCACACCAGCCCAGTCACTTATGGACTGGTTTTGAGAATCAGCAATTTTAATCTTTTATTCCATAGATTGGAGAATAATTACTAAATTTTGGGGTTTGTGCTTATTTGGTCACTAAAAGTGTCAGATTGGTCTATGAACTTTGATGGATGCATCTTTTTGTTCTCGGACTTGGAAGACAATAATTTGAAGATTAATTCAAGAACTTATTAGACACGAATTTGATGTTTATGTTTTCTTAGCTATAAAATTCAATTTTATATATAATATATCAGTTTTTGAATATATCGTTGACTTATTAAACATAAAATGTTTTTAAAGAAAGATTTTGAGAATCAAAATCAATGAAGATGAATTATGGGCAACCGCAAAGCTCCAAACATGGTAGCAGGTTAATGATCATGAGTAGTGCTTGCAAGAGCAGCTTCCATTTTTGAACACATGGAGTCTGCTCCTATCTCTCACAACAATTTCTCTCTCTACCACCTTTGTTGCAAGCACTATGAAGTCATGACATTCTCTGCAAATGCTTATGTTCTTCATTATACGTATAACAGCTTCTGGAGGCATACTGACGAGACCAAATGCAAGAGCTAATTTTTCACTATGATGACATGAATCTTCATCGTCACGATACAAAAAGCCCCTACTCTTGAACTCAGCTCTCAGGAACTCTAACTTTTCTTCCATATCATTCATCTCAGGGTGCGATCTATCTCCTGTGATGAAGACATGAATCTTACCGCTTAATTCTACCCAGCTCTGGCTAGGACTCTTCCTCATTCCACGATCTCGCATTAGCTTACGAGTTTTCGTGCTTAAATCGGGTCGGTCGAGTTCATCGTACAAGCTGGCCAGTAACAAATAGAAAGATGAATCATATGGGTCAAGATGAAGTCCTCTTCTTGCCACATCTTCTCCAAGCAGCACGTTCCTATGCAATTTGCAGGCGCTTAACAATGTCTTGTAGATCTTGGCATCTGCCTCAAATGGCATGGATTCCACAATTTCCATTGCCTTCTCTAGCTGCCCAGCGCGGCCATGGAGATCAATGACACGAACATAATGATCCAATGCCGGTTCTATATTGTGAGTTTCTCTCATAGTTTGGAAATAATGCATGCCAAAATCAACCAAACCACCTTGACTGCAAGCTGAAAGTACTGATAGCAATGTGATAGAATCAGGGTTCAGACCAGCTAACCTCATGTTATCGAAGGCAGAGAGCGCGGCGGAGATATGCCCGTTGAGTGCTAATATAGATATCAATCCATTCCAAGAAACAACGTCGGGCTCTGTTATTTCTTCAAAAGCTTTGCAGGCATCCTTCAAGCATCCAACCTTGCCATAGAAGTCCACCAAACTATTTTTAACTGAACGCGTATTGTCTAAGCCATATCTCAAAGAAAAGCAGTGAAGTTGTTTCCCAGTTTCAATTGTGCCTAGCCCAGTTGCTGCAGATACCAAGCTTGCCAAGCTAATTTCATCCATCTTGACATTATCAGCACGCATGGAATCAATGGTTTTTAGTGCCATTTCATGATCACCCATTTGATTCAATCTCGTGGCTAAGCTAGTATAAGTGATGGGATCCCGATGCTTCATAGTTCTAATCACTCGCCGAGCATCATCCACCATTCCGGATCGAGCATACGCATCCACAAGAGCGTTCCCAACAACGATATCTTGGTAAGCCATCGATTTTAGTACATAGCCATGGAACATGGATATTTGATTTTTGCAGGCTCCAAGAATGCTAGAAAGAGTGAAGGAATTTGGCTGCACTCCGGCTGCTTGCATATCTAGAAAATACCTATAACAATCTTGTTCAAAACCATGCTCAGCAAGACCAGATATTAAAGAAGTCCAACAAATAACACTCGGGGTAGCTATCGACCTGAACACTCTCAAGGCATCCTCTATCAAGTCAGATTTCATGTACATATTAATTAGTGCACTCCCAGCACAAACATCAGCCTCCAAACCAGCCAAGATTATCTGCAAGTGAATTTGCTTACCTAATTCAAGAGATGGTAGCAATGTGCAGGCACTTAAAGCACTGGAATAAGTGAAACTGTGGGGTGGAATTCCAGACATCCTCATCTCTTGAAATGCGGCAATAGCCTCCTTGACCTTCGAATTTTGATTGAAGCAGGAGATAATAGATGTCCACAAAAACACATCTTTCTCAGGCGTTTGATTTGCTACCTTCATAGCATATTCTAACTCTTGGTATCCAGAGTACATATCGACGAGGGCCGTCTTTAAAACGACATTCAGATTGACTCCCAATGATATTAAATGACTATGGAGTAACTTCCCATATTTCAAACCCATAAAACTCGTCGTTGCTAAAAGTTTGGTAAAGGTGAACTCATTAGGAGCCACCCCAGACTCTAACATGGTGATGTATAATTGGGGAGCCTCAGCCCATTTCTGTGCTTGCACTAACGAAGAAATCATGGTCGTCCAAGTAACGGTATCGGCATCATCCATGTTCCTGAAAGTTTCATAAGCTTCCTTAGTACAATCACACTTTGCATACAAATCAATCAAGGTGCAGCCCAGAACTGGCTTTGACTCAAAGCCACCCTTGATGGCATAGCCATGGACGCAACTTCCAAGCTTCAACTCTCTAGTTTCGGAGCACGATCGGATCAAAGTCGAAAGCGTGAACTCATTTGGAGAATTACCCAATGTTGTCATCAGATCAAACAATTCAAAAGCATCATTGTAGTTTCCGTGCCTAACATAAGCAGCCTGCATTGTAGTCCAGGACACCACATCTCTGTCAGGCATTTCATCGAACAGGTTACGTGCTTGTTTGAGTCCAAAGCGTTTTGCATAAAGAGATAGCAAATTGTTGCTGAGATACAAATTACCAAGAAGACCGAGCTTGATAATCGGGCTATGAACACAGACGCCCTCTTTTAAGGATTTGGAATTGCAGATTGAAATGAGCTGAGAGCAGCCTTCTTCCAGACGGTAGAGTTCATTTATATTGACAAACTTGGGTACTGTTCTACATAGCATGTTTTCTCCTGCAAGGCTTTGTTGTAGTTGGACTCATGTATGTATGTATGTATATATATATTAAATTTAAATTTAGTTGAAATTACAAATTAAGTAAATTTAAAATATCATAAAAACTTCTTAACAATTAAAATAAACTAAAATTAAAATTTATTTCTTGTTATATTTTTGTTACTAATTTTTCAAATATTTTAAGATTGCAATGAAGGATAAAATTTTATCATCAAAATAAAACAATTTTAAAAATTTTAAAAATAATTTATTTTTTTTATTAATTAAAGATGATATCAATAGCTAATAATAAATCAAGATATTTTTAAATGTTTTTAAAAGATGAATTTTTATTTTATTTTATTTTTGGATGTTATTGAAAGAAATATGGATATTTAAGGGTTATGTAATTTTATTTAGCTTTTAATTTTAATATGCCATTTCCCTCTTAAAGGCCTTGCATCAGTTATCAAGACTTCCAAGTCAATCAAGTTCTTTCACAAATCACGATCTTTCCCCCTTTCCCCCTTCCCTCCCTTCCCCTCCCTTCCAGAACCCTCTTTTCATTTTTCCGACGCTCTCAAGTTCTTCTTTCATGGCGTCCGATCTCGAAGCCAGGGCTAAGGAGGCGTTTATCGATGACCATTTCGAACTTTCCGTCGAGCTCTACACTCAGGCCATCGCTCTTAGTCCCAAGAAAGCCGAGCTTTACATTGACCGCGCTCAGGCCAACATCAAACTCGGCCATTACACCGGTATTTTTTTTATCTGTCTCTCGGATTTCATGTTTCCTTCTGATGTTTCTTACTAGGAAATCGTTCTTCGAAATGATTCTGTAAAGATTCGAATTGGACAAAGGAGAGTCTTTGATTGATTGTGATTTGTACTGAATACTTTACTTGGACGCCAATTTTCTGCTTTTCTAAGAAGCAAATGTTAAAAGCATAGTAGATTTGAGATTCTTTAGAAGAGTCGGTTGATTATGTTTAATTAATGAAGGTGAGTTTTCTCTGCTTAATTTTAGTGTAGATGATAATTATCTAGAGTTGTTTGTGATTCGAGCTTATGCATGCAGAGGCTGTCGCTGATGCTAACAAAGCAATTGAACTTGACCCTTCAAATTCAAAAGCATACTTGCGCAAAGGGTAAGCATTATGCTTACTTGTGTAGCTTCTGATGTTCTATTCCATTCTTTAGAGTCAAGATTCTTATGTTTTTCTGAGGTTTAACCTCGCGTGACATTCATATGGATTCTTTAAATTATGCTTATTTACGCATTAAGCTTTGTATTCCTCTTGTGTCTGTCTTTGGTTCAGCACTGCGTGTCTGAAGCTCGAGGAATATCAAACAGCGAAGGTTGCCTTGGAGACAGGTTCTGCTATGGCCTCAGGAGATTCAAGATTCTCGAGTTTAATTAAAGAATGTGAAAAACTCATTGCCGGTATGTGCTGCTTGATAATTTATCGGTTTAAATTTGTTGATAACTTTCAATGAGGATGATGGATCTTCTTTGCAAAGTTTGGTTTGGTTATGTCTGAACATGGTTCTTTTGTTCATAGTTGACATCAATGACTTATTTGGAAAGAGCATTTACATTTTTTCCAATTCATGGATGCCCACATCTTCATAACAGAGGAAATGGGCGATCTTCCGCAGGAATCCGTGGAAGAAACTGTTCAGGAACCTGTTTTACCAACAAATAATGTTGTACCTGTGAGTGATCAATTGCATCAGGCAACAATTGAAGCCAAACCGAAATTCAGGTTGCTGCTTTTTGTCTGTTCTTGTAGGAGTAAATATTTTCTCTCAATTTTTTGCACTCCTTTTCTTCTTGGTCGTCCTCTCAGCTTGAATTGCATTAATTCTTTTGGTACTTAGGTTATTAGGTATTTCATTATATGGATGCATCTCGGTGTAGATGATAACCATAGTTTCTTCCAAATACTCGTGCAGGCATGAATTTTATCAGAAGCCTGAAGAAGGGGTTGTGACCATATTTGCGAAGGGCATACCAGCTGAAAATGTTGCTGTTGAATTTGGTGAACAAATTGTACGA